GCGACTGCATGTCCAGAATGCCCTTCCTTTCTAGGTCCAACATCTGGGATTTCTCCAATCGGTGCAAGGTCCATGCAACAGGCTCGACCCGCCGACACTGATCCCATATCTGGCTGCAAGCGTGGAGTGATTTGTCACGGCGGTACCTTGTCAGGAGCAGAGGCTACTGCGATGGCTACAGTCCTAAAAGTGATTCCACCCTTTGCTCACGACCAGAGTGTGAAAGAGTAAGGCCAAACAGAACCTGCGTGCTTTGACAGAAGAGCGGGATAGGTGCAAAGAGCTCCATCTTTTGCGTCCACTCTGACCTCCTCCAACCACACTCCATTGCTGCCTGCGGCTTGCAGTTTTCCTGGACTCATGCAAGCAGTGAATGCGTAGGGGCTTGTCACACGAAGTCTGAAGGGATGGCAAGCAAGACAAACGCGACTCCCGACCGCACCAGTTCCCAAAACTTCTGAGGCAATTCGGCGAATTTAGATCCATCCTCTGACGGATGACTAGCAATCCCTGCAAGGCAGGCATGCGCAGCTAGCAAGTCGCATTCAAGTGATCGTAAGGAAGTCCAAATTAGACGACAAAACCCCAACCTCTGACGTCAAACTCCTCCACCCAAAACAATTGCGGCGCAAACCACTTGCCGAGCCAAGCGAAAACTAGCGGATAAATGGTGATGAGGCGCTCGCTTTGGCACCCTGACTTGCCAGCTGCCAGCCATCATGTCGTGCAGCAGCTTGCTGCAGAAGGCCCCTGCTTGGCAAATACCATCCTTGGCTTGCTAGCTTCATCTAGCTTGAGATGGATCTGGTTGCCGGTGCGGTCTTTGGTGCTAAGCAGCCAAGCAGCTTGCGCTGAACTCGGCCAGTTTCTTTTCAAGGGCCTGCTTCTCGCCCTGACACCTCGTTTCCTCCTTCCTAGCAGCACCCAGCATGAGCTTTGCATCGTTTCGCTCACTGGCCAACTTTGGCATACCAGCTTCCATCAACGCAATCAGTGCTGGCAGCCCTTGCAGCTTGAACTTCGTAGAAGCAGCCGCCTGCGTGCCAAACAAAAACATAGCTTTGTACGCTTTGAATTGCTTGACATCGCTACCACAGCTTCAAATTCACGTCAAGGCATGTCGGCCTCCTTTGCTCTCTCATAAACTTTGAGCTGCCTTGCGCTTTGCTCCATGACGGCCTCCAGGGCCTCTAATTTCTTCTGCCATCGAGCAGATTGCTCGGCGGCGTACTGCGGTGCTATGAAATGGATGTGGCCATGGGCTTTTGCCAGACCCTTTTTCAGCGACTTCCTGAAAGGACACATGAGGCTTGGAAACCACATGGGCAACTACCCTAAGAATGCAGAAAAATTTGCTTCCCAAAAGGCCTAAAGCTATTGCTTCTCATAGCCTTCAGGCCGACCCAAACAAAAGCATAGCATCGTCAGCGTTCAACTCTCACTACAAAGCACACTTGGCATTCCCTGCACCCCTGACCACGGACAGCACAAATTAGGCCAAAAGTGCTTCAAAAAAGTCTAGATGCGCTTGTTTAACCTGCTCCTTGCAGGTCTCTATCATGTGATGGAGGATGGGAGTCAACCCAGCTTGTTCGGCCGCCGGAGCGAGGAATGATGCAATCTGGGTCCATATCCTTACCATTATGAACTGAAAAAGGCTAGATAAAATGGACCCCTATGGGAGCATAGCACAGAGGGGGGTAGTTAAGCGACGCTTGAAAACAAAAACATGCATTGTTGGTGTTGCATTCTTCCTGGCAGCACAGCACACAACTGCTCCTCTCCTTCCCAGTAGCCCCACAATTTAGTCATAGATCCTTCCAGCAAATTCTAACATGGGCATGTTTCAACACCATCCCCCTTTCATCCCTAAGAAGGCCTCCACAATCCCCTTTACAATCCCCATATGTCCCTAGGGCCCTAAAGGCCCTCTGGGGCTCAAAGATAGGGTTGGACATACATGGGGGATTTATCTCCAGGATTTCATATGCATAACTTCCTAGGGGCATGAGGGGCCGTCGAGGATACATATCGAAGGGGTTATGGCCTCTGGAATCACCGATTGCCTAAAATTTTGGTGGCATGCCTCCTTAAGCGCTGTCGTCGCTAGCCCTCGCCTCCCACTATCACAGTGGGTGGCTCAGACTTTGTCGTCTTTGTCGTCGCTAACCCTCGCCTCCCGCCATCACAGCTGGAGGCTCAGACTTTGTCGTCTGTATCGTCGAAACTGCCTCCCACTATCAGCTGCCTAGCCCTAACCCCCAAACTGATTTTGTACTGACATCAGCTTTCGTTTTTGAGAAGTTCATCACATAGACAAGTAGCAGCTCTACGGTGGCCTTGTCTTCCCCACGCAGCCAGGTGAGCGTGGACCGTCCACGCCAAGATGGCTGTCGGGCTGTCTCCTTGGGATTAGGTTTTAGGGTTTAGGGTAAGGGTTTAGGGTTAGTGTTTAGGCCTAAGGTTTGGGGCTTAGGGTTTAGGGTTTGGGGGGTTAGGGGTTCAAGGTTTCGGGCCGTCTCCTTCATCGCAGCCATGACTTGGTCTTTCCAGCTAATGCACCTGGCAGGGGCACGTGAATTATGATCATCCACATTTTGAGATGTCTATGCTATTCATTCTGTTACTTTATTACGATATCACTACATCACTGCTCCGTTGCTACACTACGATGCCAGTACATCACTATGTCACTATATCACGACATTACTTTATCGCCTTGTTACAACGATACTAGAAACTAGAACCCTGGTACTGTGCTACCATATTGCTAAACTACAATGCTACCTTGCTACTACATGTTACCATGGTATCACCCACACTGAATGACTGCTAAGAGGGGTGTCGGGTGTTGCGCTGACAATCTGGGCTTGTACCCATCATTAGCAGCTGGGAGCGGCGCCCTGGTGCGGATGAGAGCTGCCGGCGGAACCACATGCCTACGTGATCCAGACCCAGCTTGAAGACCCCATAGGCCTCGCGCAAGACCTTAGCTAGATGATCATACGCTGCTACTACCAAACTGATGTACCACAAATAGGTGGTTGTCAAAGTTATGGCCCCTTTTTCGGGTAATTACCCTAAGTACTAGGTGCCATAGTATAATAGGGTTCCAAAAGGGGACCATTTTTTTGACAACCACCCAAATAGCACACCTCCACCAGTGCAGCAGTAAGGCCCTCCGTCTTTCGCGTAGGTCATCGAGCCTTCAATCTGCAGACATCTGCCACTCCTCTTCACAGCTGAGAAAGCAGGCGCTTCCAAGGCTCTGACGCATGATTCAGGAGTTTTTCACCGCGGTCTCGGAAGTCTGCAATGAGTGCAAGGTCATCCTGGGCCCCGAAGCAGTTGAAACCTTGCAGCTTGAGCTTGGGGCTGGTGAAACCTTTGAAGAACCACGACAACTGAAAATGAAGGGTAGGTGTTATGAAATAAATGGATTACATCTGACTGCTTCACAAGGCAGAACTGATAGCAACTAAAAGCCTTTTTAAGGCCAGGACGTTCCTGCACTTTTGGAATCTGCGACTGGACTTCCTCACCCTCAGGGCGCCACACGGCTTGGGGAACGAAGATGAGCTTCCGTGTCAACCAGTATAGTCGCCCTTAAGTAGATAGAATATGGCTTTGGGTATATCATAAAAAGATCCCCATATATCCCATGTTCTATCTACTTAAGGGTAATAGTAATATCCTCTTCAAATCATTGGATCCTCGTCTTGAAGCCAACATGCTGGAACCCTGGTAGCTCTTGACGAACCTCTGGACGCCAAAAGACTGAGACCCCATTCACACACAAACTTCTGCGAAAAATGTAGAAGGAAGTAGCTTGAAGACAAGCATCCAAGCTCAGGAGTGATGTGTTTTTTCGCTTGACATTCTTCTAAGAGCTTCTGGAAGTAATCCCTGTCACCTGCAGGCCTTCCACTTCCATTACTTCCATTAATTAATATCAGGGTAATAGTGGGGTTATATAGGGATAATGGAAAAGTAAATGGAAACTACTATTTAGAGTTTAGGGTGGGTTTACTGGGTTGCTGTTAAGGAACTTAAATCAAGTGACCGTAATGGGTATATATAGTAAATAATAGGGTTTCCCAAATATAGTAGCCTAATTTAAGTTCCTTAACAGCAACCCAGTTTAGCACAGAGTCCTTCAGCAGACCCCGTAGTTGAGAAATCACCATCCGGGCCAGCCTGTGCCGGCTTAAAGTCCATGACCTCGACAAGGTCCTTGTCTAGCCACCTGCGAGCATCTCCCTTAATGATCCCTATAGCCCTATAGTACTTAAGTAATCTTAAGTATCTCCCTTAATAACCTATAGTACTCCCCCATGTAACCCCAGATGTAAACCCCTTTAAGGAGTTTAGACTATAGTTCACATGGTTAGTGTGCCAAAAATGTGTTGGACGCGGAAGAGCTCTCTTAGAAAATGCTCGCTTAGGAGGCCCGGGGGATACATGGAGATTATATGGGGGCTATAAGGGTCCATCTTCATGGATTGTAGGGATTGTTCTGAGAAACTCCGACAAGGGGGCGGGTTCTAATATGTGGAGATGTTGCAGAAGAAGATAACACAGAGGTCGTTTTTGTTCAGTTACCTGGGGCTTGTGTCCAAACGCTCCCCGATTGGGTCCCTACATACTCTTCATGCGTTCTGTAAGAATGGCTCTCGAAGGCCTCGGACCAAACTGTGTTGGGGGAATGGTTCCAATATTGCCTTAGAGAATCCCAATATTACCCTACATAATCCCAATATTACCCTATATAGTCCAAATATTACCCATATAACCCCTATATAATTCTTATATAATCCCTATATTGGTTCCAGTTGCAACCTTGTACTGCTAGGGCATGGGGATTTGAAAAATGGGGTACTTTTGGGGGATAGCTGAGGAAGTTTAAGAGATGGTGGACATTGCGGGTCATTCAACTCGTTAGTCGAGATTGTAGGTGTCCCAAACCCTAAGCCCAAACTCTAAAGAAACCCGCCTGTCCCCTAAGTATGCCTTTGTAGCATAGATTGGCGTGAAGTGCTCGAACTCTCAGTTTCCAGGAAAACACAGCCGGAGCGAGCTCGCGAAATCGCCACATAAAGCGTCTTGAATTCCTTCGTTTGTAGCTTTGGGGGTTACCCAAAATTAGGGGTCCCCATAATAAGGGCTATAATATTTTGTGGTCTATATTGGGGTCAGGCTGTTTTGGGAAACTACCATTTGCCATGACTGCAACCACCCAAACAAACAGAAACGGTGCATTTTGAAAGCTGGTACACACAGCTGCCAAGGAACTGGAATGGCCAAAGCAATTCTCCACAGCCTGGCTTTGTCTGCGGATGCTAGATCTTCCTGGTTGGCATCAGCACGGGCGAGTTGTGTTGAACTGGACTCATCATCCGCGAGGTCCCAAATCTCGTCACTGCCGCTGGAGAACAAGTTCACCAAAATGACGAGATCGAATTCGAGGCCCTTGGCCTCTGCAGGTGTAAGGATCAACCCCTGAATCCTCTTCCGAAGGTCGTTGCGAGCCCGATCGTTCCGAACAAGCAGAGCCGTGCAGGTTGGATCTACAGCGGGCAGTTGTGAATCGCCCTTGCCTGCCACCAACTTCTCAGCGCTCTAGTGACAAAACACGAAAAGCATAAACAGAAGGCCAAAGTACTCTTGTACACGCATGCCAAGCCACCAAGGAGGTACAAAGAGAGCAGACTGTTGCTTGGCAAGCGCACGAACAACGGCTTTGATCCCGGAGTTGTGGTCTCTTCTTGTATGAAGTCCGCGGCACGGGGGAAGCGTTCAAGCAGCAACTGGCTGACAGACGAAGCAGTGGCAGCAATGCCTGCCTTGCATCGGTAGTTGAATCTCAGACTCATCACCAGGAACCTTTTTTGAAGCTCCAGTAAGCATTCCCGAGCTTCTCTCACTTTCGTCTCAGCACTGGCCAACTGCCGCGACGCATCACCCAAATCATCCCGCAAGCTTGTCTTGGTTTCTATGTTTCGGGCTTGCACTCCTCTTCGTGCCAATGCATCACTGATGAGCTTGTTTGCACGCCTCTTGCGATCAAGCTCCTGATGCATTTGAGCTTGCTGGCTCACATGCTGCAAGTCCTCCTCACGAACTCGAAGCATGCTGTAAATTTTGGCGCCCTCACGCGTATGTCGAAGGGCTCCGAGCCGATGCTCCCGGAACGCATGGACTAGCTGTTGAAAGTTGAATGCACTGCCAGCATTGATGGTCTGGCAGGTGTCACCGGTCATAGTCACAGCATTGGGGTTCTTGCAGAGCAGCAGCAGTGCTGAAATCTCTGCAGGCGAGAAATCCTGCACCTTTGAAGACATGCGAGTAACATTCATGACTCAGCGCGTGGTATTCAAGACCCTGGGAAAGCACTCTGTGTAGCTACGCAGGATTGCAACACTCTCGAGCCTCATCCACAAACAGAGCATCAAAGCTCACGTGTTGCCGCTCTTGGCAACTGGCTAGAAGAGCAGCTACATCAGTATCATCCATTTGACAGCGGTGTTGCTTCAGCTTGCAGTACCTCAGTTTGCTATGACACGCCTACAAACTCTCTACCTGAAAATGGTGCCTGGACTCGGACAATCCGGGTTGCTCCTCGAAGCAGCGATAGATCTGCATGCGGTCTTCTACATCCAATCGAACGCCCATGGCGCTGGACTCTTCCTTCTCAGGCCAGATGCACACGTCTGTTGAGCCAGCAGCTTACTCTCAGCTTAACACAAACATGGCCGCAGCGTCAACTTTCAGACTTGACAGCCTGTCCTTCAGGTATTCATTCCTCTCCAGGCACCACACCCCAACTTCGCCCAATCCGAGCACCATTCCAGGGCCAAAGGGTCTTAGCGTAGTGTTGAACTCGGCCCAAAGAATCTGGGCCGGAATCTGGCAATGATCTTGGAAGTGAGGGACATACTCATCATTGAAGACATCGTAGGAAATATCAGCCTCCTTGATGTCTGGAAGAGCCATCTGCACCAGTTGCTTCCACGTCCAGCAGTAGATGCCAGATGTGGGTGGCCATACAGGTTCAACAAGATCACAGCCTTTGGCCTGCAGTTGGTCTGACACCTCCTTCACCAAGAGCGTGGACTTGGTTACAAATATGCTGGCAGGCAGATGCCCGGCATCCCTCTGACGCATGTAGTCACGGTGGAGCCTGCTCACCAGAACCAAAGTCTTTCCTGTCCCAGATCTTCCCTGCACCAAGACACTGTGCTGACAGTCGACCTGGGTTTCCATGCATCGCCTCTCCGCTGCTCTGTTCCCATCTCACTGCCTACCTTTGACTGCGCCTGCTACACAAGAAACTGAGCCTCAAACAACAAGGGTCTGTTCCTGAGACCTTGGTCCATCTGGAGCTTGCTGAAAACAAATGAAGGATGCATGTTCTCTAATTCAAGCCGAAAGGCAATTGAACCATTTTGTGCTTCGAGGCCCTGCTGACTTGCTGCAGAGGAATTCGGCTCCTGCACGAAACCTGGACTGACTGCGCCAAGGTCTGGAGAAGCGCTGTCGACTCATCATAGATCTTCTGAGCTTTCCTCGCCATTCGCACAAATTTTGCATCGTGCCACATAGGGCTCTGCCAACAATTTAAACTTAAACGCAGCTCTCCGCAGTCACGTTGTTGAAAACTATACGACGGTTGCATGCAAACTAGCCAAAGTAAGCGGAAAACAAGTTGCAATGCTTATTGTTGCTGACCCTGCCAAGAAGCCTGCCAAGGGGAGTTTGGCTGAAGACTTGCAACTCTGCATCAATGACAGGCAGCTTGTGACGCAAAGCTGCCAGAGATGCATCATCCTTATGCGCCTGTCTGTCCTGATCAAATCTAAGAACCAGACAGAATTGGGGCAATTGTCTGGCACCTGTATCCACAACAACCGTGAACTCAGAACTACTGTTCCATTCTGTGACAAGTTTGATTGGATTGATCACTGGGTGACGCTCACAAGAAAATTGCCAGCAAGGTGGGTTGACAAAAATTCGGCCAAGTGGCTTCAGACAAGTTCACGAGTTGCCTCAGCAGCCCTTCGAGTTTTGCCGAATGGTTTTTCAATGGCCACCACGAAAAATCCTGATCTGCACAACAGCTTGTCGGTAATACTACTCATGGAACGTATAGTATACCATTCGAACCCTTGCTTCTGGTAGCTGGGCTTCGAAGGATGAAGGCGTGAAGAAAACTTCGAAGTTGTCCAAATCAAGTTTGCGGCGTAGATCTGCTTGGCAATGGTGTGGAAGCTCTTCCGCTGCCATGTTTAGGCCCTGCACGTCTAAGCTTGGGATGCATCCAAAAGTCTTGGATACCTGTATTAGTACTTGACTCGTTGCCCTGACATGCTATGCAGATACGTCTTACCTTGTCAGAAAACCCAGATAATGGTTTTCATGCAACATGGTCTTGTATGTGTATGCTTGAAGCCCTCTGATTCCAATCGAGATGGCAAATCATGCAAACCCAGCTGCAGCCAAGGGTCTTGCAAACTTTCACAGGCAGTCTGCAAGGCAGATAACTTGAAGCAAAGTGGCTGCCACCAGTTCATTCAAAACGGTGCCAGAATCCAGGGGTCATAGTAAATCATTTGCCTTCACACAAAACCACACCCGCCCATGTGTACAATTATGACCCCCAATTTCCACGGACCAACTCAGTGTTGAAACCCCTGTACGTCTTCATGCCGCCATGCCGGCAACATGACAAAGATGTGACATGACATGACATGGCATGACATGACAAAGAACCATCAACCATTAAACAACCCAGTACATGTTGATGCAGATGAAACCAGACAGCCTTTGCAAAACGAAACGCGGAAATTCATACACAAATCAAACATGCGCTCCAGGTCCCGAATGGAAATCAAACACAACACCTCTTCCTGGAAAAAAAATCTTCGAAAGCGGAAAGAAATCACGTACAGGAGCTTGTCACAACATGTTTGGCGCAGGTGTGTCTGAAAATTGCCGGCAACCTATGTGCGGCTGCTCTCCTTCTACACAACAACCACCATTTTTTGCGTTGTTGTCTTTACGCATTTGATGTTTTAGTTTCAGGCAAGCGCAGGTTGCAAGAGTGTGTGCTTGGAAAACCTGCACGGCTGACAAAATCTTCTGGGACTTCCAGTTCCAGTTGTTTGAAACGTCGTGCCCAACAAAATACGCCAGTTTCCGGTGTGGCAAATGGAGACTTCGTCCACCAAACTTGGGTAAACAAGTTCAACATTTTCCCGCATGCCGCACAACAGGTCGCCAAGCATGTGTGCACTGTTCACAGGGGCGCTCTCTTGAGCGTCTTGCGAACATGCAGCATGAACAAACAGCTGTGTTTGCAAACGACCATGCATTGCAAGAATCGGCAAGCACAATATGATGCACGCAAACTCTCAAATTTCAAGAAACTGTCCAAAATTCGGACAAAAGATGGCCAGATACAAACAAGATTCATCCGAAATGTACAATATCACACCACTGAACGCACCCCATCATCCCAAAAGGTTTGGGCCATCGATGGGCAAAAAAAAACGTCCTCGCCGTGTAGCTCAAATAGACGCAGTTAACCTTGTTCCAACTAGCTGCCATGATTGTTGCTGATACTGATTGACTCCCCCTTGATTGGTGTCCCGAAAATACAACTGTTTCTGTTTTTGCTCCACAGGCTGCAAAGGCACACGGTGCTTGGATCTGCGATGTGGTTACCAAACGTACATGGTTTGCCGACATATTAACGCTTATAAGTGGTTAGTCGACTTATCGATAGCCCGGTCAACTCGGCTTATCAGACTTATCCAAACGCGATTTTTTCATGCTGACTCTGCTAGGTCGAAAAGTACATAACTTACGGCACTTACAAATAAGTTGGTTAAATCGGTTAAATCGACTTAGCTGAAACCAATAAGATGACGTATCTAAGTCGACCTAGCTCCCCGCTAAATCAACCTGTCAGACTTACTAGGTCGACTTCACCGACGTGGCTAAGACGGCTAAAGCTAAGTCGACTTACAGTACGTCGGCTAAGTCTGCTAAGTCGGCTCGAATCAAATCCGATAAATCATCTTAATAGATAACAGTTCTATACTTCGATCCTCGACTTAATAACTGACTTACTACCCACCTGTAAACGGGTTCTCAATAATCGACCAAGTCAACCTATAGCTAAATATAACCAGTTCTCGACTTATCAGCTACGTCGGTCACACAGTCGGTAGCTGGTTACCAAATTACTAACCCGCTATGAACAGATCACTAACCCTGGTAACTAAATAGCGGACTTGCATTGACTCAAAACAAACTTGAACTTGGGTCTTTCTAGGTTCGAATTAAGTCAAATGTAAGTTGGATGTCAACCAAAATGACAAATCCTTTACTTCAGCGATTTAGCTAATAGCCCAAACGTGCTTCCAAGTGCGAGAAACAAAAGAGCAAATCCAGCAGCAGCCCCTAAATGGTTGGGTGAATGGGTTGCCTGTGCCGAGGCGAGGAAGGTCGGCATGACATACCAGCTTGTGGCCAAACACCGGACTATCCAATACGCACCAGCCACCACTAATCGGCACACAGGGCGCGGGAGGTTTTGGCTTTGCGGGCATCACCGAGGAGCCGAGAAAAAAAAAAAACTTTGCAGAGCGGCCGACTGAAAAAAAATGATAAAGGTTGGCCATAGTCGCTGAAAAATGTACACAACTCACGCAAGATGTTCACGTCACAAATAAGTTACCTGGTTCAATCAAAACGGGGCTTCCTCTTTCCCAAACACACGCCAAACTCGCGAATCTTTTCTGCCATCTTCTCACCTGGGACAACACTGCCACAAAGGAATCCTGCGTCTGGCATGCATCTCCTGTAATAACGCATCACGGCATCTGTTGCATTGCCTCACCACGGGAGGTTGGCTCAAGTGTGCGGATTTTGCAACAACATCAAAATAACACGAAATGCGATCCCGCAAAAAACGCATGCAACCTGATTGGGGCATCAACCCAGTTGGATTTGGACGGAATGCATTCGAACCACAAAGCATAGCCGGTTCACTCATCAAAGGCGCAAAAGTCGTCGA